GCTGGGATAAAAGGCATGCGACACCAAAGCCCGGCCTGGTTTTATCATTTTTGAACCTGTCTGCAAAATGTTGGCTGTGACCCAAAAGGGGGCTGCTGGGTTTGTCCTTGAGATATTGTGAGGCCCTCTGTCCGATTTCTCCCTCAACCCTGAATGTAAAAAAAAAAACAAACAAACAGGACTGGAGAGATGGCTCAGAGGTTAAGAGCACTGGTTGCTCTTCCAGAGGTATTGAGTTCAATTCCCAGCAATCACATGGTGGCCCACAGCCATCTATAATGAGATCTGGTGCCCCCTTCTGGCACGCAGACATACATGGACATAACAGGATGTTGTATTCATAATAAATAAATAAATAAACCAACAAAGCTTCAATTACAAAGAATTTTTTAGTAGAGTATACCTATTGGCCTAAAACGATTACAGGTTTTGGGGATTTGACCCACCAAATCTGTGTGTGTGTGTGTGTGTGTGTGTGTGTGTGTGTTGTTTAAAGACAAGGGTCCTTACTATTAGTTTCTGCTGCAGCACCAGCCTGCCTCTGCCACCAAAGCAGTTAAGTTACACCATCATCTCCCGCCAGGTACCTTTCCACCATCAGTTACACAACATGTGTACCCCTTAAAAGTGCCTGCTGGCACGCCTCACTTTCTTGCCTCTTGTTCCTCTCTCGCCTCTGTCCCTCCTCTTGTTTCTTCCCTGTCTGTAGATCAGGCTGGCCTCGAACTCACAGAGATCCGCCTGCCTCTGCCTCCCGAGTGCTGGGATTAAAGGCGTACGCCACCAACGCCCGGCTCTCACTTCACTGTTTTAAAATCATTATACTTACTATGCAGCTCTGCCTGACGTGGTTCTCACTCTGTAGCCCGCAGAAATCCTCCTGCTTCAGCCTCCCTGAATGATGGTGAAGGTCACAGCCATGGTAAATGCCCATTAACGGAAAACTAGTAGTGGAGACCTAACGTTGCAAGCCGCTCAAAACATAAAAGGGTTAATCCAGTTGGGCTGGTGGATCATCTGGCTAAGGGACAACCCCTCAGAAAGGTGAGACCACACCTAGGAAGGTGGCCCCACCTTAGGTGACACTAGAGAAATGGGTGGAATAATTACACTTTTTTTTTTTTTTTTGGTTTTTTGAGACAAGGTTTCTGTGTGGTTTTGGAGGCTGTCCTGGAACTAGCTCTTGTAGACCAGGCTGGCCTGGAACTCACAGAGATCTGCCTGCCTCTGCCTCCAGAGTGCTGGGATCAAAGCCCGGCTTAATTACACTTTTAATGACATGCTGTACTTTCCCTTTCCCAAAGTCCCCACAAGCCTCTATGCCTTTCCATTGGGTCTGCCTACCTTGTTGAGATATAACTTTTCTTCCTTTTTGGTCTTTTTCTTTCCAAAGTTTTTTTTTTTTTAAGATTCATTTATTTAAGCTGGGCATTGGTGGCACACACCTTTAATCCCAGCACTAGGGAGGCAGAGGCGGGCGGATCTCTGTGAGTTTGAGGTCAGCCTGGTCTACTGAGCAAGTTCCAGGACAGCCTCCAAAACAATACAGAGAAACCCTGTCTCGAAAAAAAAATAAGATTCATTTATTTATTATGCATACAGTATTCTGGCTGCATGTCAGAAGAGGGCACCGGATCTTATTACAGATGGTTGTGAGCCACCATGTGGTTGCTGGGAATTGAACTCAGGACCTTTGGAAGAACAGTCAGAGCTCTTAACCTCTGAGCCATCTCCAGCCCTTTTTTTGTTTTGTTTTGTTTTGTTTTGTTTGTTTTTCAAGACAGGGTTTCTATGTATTGTTTTGGAGGTTGTCCTGGAACTCGCTCGGTAGACCAGGCTGGTCTCAAACTCACAGAGATCCGCCTGCCTCTGCCTCCCGAGTGCTGGGATTAAAGGCTTGTGCCACCAACATGCAGCTTGAATTTTTAATTAGTTCATAAAAATCCATTCACACATTCCTAAACAGTATCAATAGTGTTTACAGGTGTATAGCAGCAGATTGGGCATCAAGTTTTAGATGGGTGTGTTTATAATCCAGGCTCCTTCTTGTCAGATTAGTAAACTGAGGCCTCATAAGTTTACAGGGCCAAGCTCCATGGCAGTCCAGGATAGAGCTATACCTGTGTGTTACTAGGAGGCTCTAGAATGGCGGAGACAAGTCACACAAGAGAAGGTCATGCAGCCTGAAGTTAGGGAAGGACCTGGTGGTATAGCAGTCGAGTAAGAAGGTGAGGGTATGGGAGCTGGAGAAGTTAAGGGCACTGGCTGCTCTTCCAGAGGTCCTGAGTTCAATTCCCGGCAACAACACGGTGGCTCACAGTCATCTATAATGAGATCTGGTGCCCTCTTCTGGCCCGCAGGCATAAATACAAGGAGGCAGACTATGAGGGTATAGAGATGGGTCCCTGAAGCTGGAGAGGAATGAGCAAAGAGAAGGCTGTTCAATATGAAGGAGGTGATTCAGTTGGGGGAAAGCAATGTCTCCTTCTTAGGCTCAGAATGTGAACATAGGTAAACAGGTAAAGATGCCAGACAATTATGCTGGGTCATTTTGCTATTTGAACCCTGCATGTTAAGCCATTTCTCCGAGTGCTGGGTTGTGCGCTACCAACGCCTGGCTTCCCCCAGCTCTTTTACTTAGATGGGTTTGTGTTTTGATGAACAGGTTCTTACAACTGAGGTTCCCTTAAACTCTCAATCTTTACGTTTCTCCCTCTCAAGTGATAGGATTAACAGGCACTCTTGGCTGTTAACATTTAGGGTTTTGTTTTTGTTTTTTGAGACAGGGTTTCTGAGCCTGTTATAGAACTGGTCTCAAACTCAAGAGTTCCACCTGTCTCTAGCTCCTGAGTGCTGAGATTAAAGGCATGTGCCACCACCCCCTGGCGATATTTAGGTTACTTTTTAGCATCTTGTGTAGCCCAGACAGGGCTCAAACTCTGATATATGGGGACGACCTTGAACTTCTGACCGTCCTGCCTGAATCTAAATGCTTGGATTACAGGTGTGAACCACTACACACAATTTCTCTCTCTCTCTCTCTCTCTCTCTCTCTCTCTCTCTCTCTCTCTCTCTCTCTCTCTCTCTCTCTCTCTCTCTCTCTCTCTCTCTCTCTCTCTCTCTCTCTCTCTCTCTCTCTCTCTCTCTCTCTCTCTCTCTCTCTCTCTCTCTCTCTCTCTCTCTCTCTCTCTCTCTCTCTCTCTCTCTCTCTCTCTCTCTCTCTCTCTCTCTCTCTCTCTCTCTCTCTCTCTCTCTCTCTCTCTCTCTCTCTCTCTCTCTCTCTCTCTCTCTCTCTCTCTCTCTCTCTCTCTCTCTCTCTCTCTCTCTCTCTCTCTCTCTCTCTCTCTCTCTCTCTCTCTCTCTCTCTCTCTCTCTCTCTCTCTCTCTCTCTCTCTCTCTCTCTCTCTCTCTCTCTCTCTCTCTCTCTCTCTCTGTCGGTTTTTCCAGATAGGGTTTCTCTGTAGCTTTGGAGGCTGTCCTGAACTCTCTGTATACCAGGATGGCCTGGAACTCACAAAGATCCACCTACCTCTGCCTCCCGAGTGCTGGGGGGATTAAAGGCGTGCGCCATCACGGCCCGGGTACCACACATGATTTCTGTAAAGTTGAGGATCAGACACAGGGTTTCTGAAAGCTAGGCAAGCATCCTCGCATCTTAGCTACATTCCCAACACTAGATTTTCGTTCTACTAAGGTTTTTACCCTGGACCTGCTTCACCAGACTTTCAAACACATCTACAACACAGCATCTGTCAGGGATGGAGAGGCGCCAGCCCTGCTAGACTCCACAGTATTAGGTACACGGAGACCCAGGGCTCTCTGCATCTCTCCGGTTCTTGTCACTGGTACGTGGCCGGCCTTACACGGTGGCTGGCTCACTGCTCCCAACAATGTGGGGCAAGGGAAGGCCAGTGCATCTCTTGATAGGTTTGGCTCATGGGTGGCCTCGGACGACAAAAGGACTACTTCAGGGGACTTTTTGGATGACAGCTCTTCTCTCTGGCTAGGCAACTGGTCCCTGCCGTTTGGTGTCTGACTAGTTTCTACCCCCATTTCACGTCCCACACCCCATTCTGATCTGTGGCCAAGCTGGGGCATTGATTTCACAACCATTCATTGGAAGAGCAGTGGATTCCTGGGGGGTCCGGGTGGGGCGAGGTGGGAGCGTTCTTTAGGACGACTGCAGGGGGGCCCTGTAAGGCGCCCCCATCCGGGATGGGAGCATGAGACCCCAGAGAACCTTTCTCTCTCTCGGGTGTAGGAGAAAAGCCAGCGGAGCAGGTCCAGGGCCTCGGCCTCTGGGTTCGAGCGCCCTCTCCAGTGTGGCAGAGAGGCCTGAGGGAGTGGCCAGAGGATTGGTGATTGACAGCTCACTCCCACCAGCCTGGCGATGACCAAAGAGAGTGCTCAGACCCACTGATCCCGGGCACCCCCGCCACCCCCAGCTTCTGAGAGCCGACCAGACCGGAAGTTGGGCCCAACGACTGCCTAGTCTTCCTCGAAACAACGGAAACGTGTTCCCCCGACTAGCGTTCCGCCGGCGCCGCGGCCATCGGTTCCGTTTCGCGTCCCGGAAGTGCGGCCCTTCAAGTTGACAAGCCGGAGGCAGCCACTGCAGGCCCTGGTGCCTAAGGAGTCGGAGGTGGGGGGTCGAGCGGGCATCCCCCCCCCGCCCTGCTTCAGAGGCAGAAGGAAGACCAGGGCGTGCCGGGGGGTGGGGGAGGGACGCCCGCGTGGGGGATCGGTGTGCACGTTGCGAACGCGAGAGGGCGCTGCAGGATCGGGGCAGGGCGCGGGCGAGGGTGCGGAGGCGGGAAAGTGGGTGCAATCGTAGTGGGCCTCAAAGGGGCTCTGGCCCAGGGTGGGAGAGAGACAGTTTGATGGGGGCAAGGTGCATCGCATAGGCGAGGACGTGGCGGCGAGAACGCAGCAGTAGGCGTGGGAGAGAGCGTGCCTTTGTTCGAGGCATCCAGAAGGTCCTGCTGCATCTGGGGGTGGGTTTGTTGGTTGAGGAGGAGTTGGGTCTGCACGCGGGTTGAAAAAGGAGGCCGCTGGCCGAGGCAGGTGCAAAGCCTTGGTTCGTCTGGAGAATTAACTCATCGTACAGGGACCCAGATCCAACTAGGTTGGCAGGCTCCCTCTGGCTGCCGAGCGAGGGAAAGGCCCGGAGGTGGGGGGTGTGGAAGGGACTTAGCAAGGTCACTTCCAGCAGTCCAGGCAGCGGTGGCTGGCACAAAGTATAAACTAATCTGAGAGAAGGGGAGGAATTCGGCCGTGACAAAGGGAAGGACATAGAAACGTTGAGTCTGAGAGATCTCTGTAGCCCCTGTGTAGGGACAGGGTTTAATGGGGCCCCAACTCTGGAGCCAAGGCCCCACAGAGACAGGTGGTTACGGTGTACCCTGTGTGTTGGTTCTCTCCCTTAGAGCAGAGTTGTATGCAGTCTGATCCAAGTGTAACATCCTTGTTATTTGTTACATAAGGAAACAACCCAGAGACCTGATATTATCTACTTGGTGGGTTATCTGGCAGATCTCAGCTTCCTAGCTCTGTGTGTGTGTGTGTGTGTGTGTGTGTGTGAGAGAGAGAGAGAGAGAGAGAGAGAGAGACAGAGAGACAGAGACAGAGACAGAGAGATAGACAGAGACAGAGATATAGACACACAGAGAGGAGTGTCTTCCCTTTTCCAAGGCTTCAATCTGGTCAGTGCCAGGGTGATATGATAGTCTCAGGTTCATAAGAAGTATGGAGTGGCGCACGCCTTTAATCCCAGCACTCGGGAGGCAGAGGCAGGCGGATCTCTGTGAGTTCGAGGCCGGGCTGGACCGACAGCCTTCAAAACAATACAGAGAAACCCTCTCTCGTAAAAACCAAAAAAAAAAAAAAGAAAGAAAGAAAAAAGAAAAAAAAAAAGAAAAGAATTGCTCAACCACACTGGGCTTCAGTTTGCTGGCCTGTCACACCCTCGTGCAGTTTCTTACCACCTCTCAGGGCTCACGTGATATAAGAAGAAACAGGGCCCCAGGACTTTGTTGTATGTACTATTTATTTGCTTTCCTTGGGTATGGGGGGCCCTGATGCCCAGCTTGAAGAGGTGGTCCTATCAGATTCGCCAGGAGGCAGGTGCATCCCACCCTCTTGAAAATCTCCACATACACACTAGTTCTGTTTTGTTTGGGGTTCTTTTGTTTTGTTTTTCGAGACAGGTTTCTGTGTAGACCTGGCTGGTCTTGAACTCACAGAGATTCACCTGCCTCTGTCTCAAGTGCTGGGATTACAGGCGTGCGCCACCACAGCCGGGCTTGTTTTGTTTTAAACAAGGCTACCCTTTAGGAGGGGGGCTGTCCTGTGATTTAAGGGTATTTAAGTTGGGTGCTAGGTAAGGTCCCAGAAGGAGGCTAGGCCTGGCTCTTCCTTGGGGCAGAAAACAGGGGATATATGCTGGTGTTTCAGGGATGTAGGGCATTGAAGAGTACCTAGCCCAGGAGTGCTGGCGTGTTTTATGTGTGGTTCAGGGACTTCGATGTGCTGCACCCGTGGGTTGTGTGATAAGGATTAACGGGACCAGGGCATTGGATGCCTTAGAGTTGTTAGCTGACAGCCCAACCCCCATTGTCTCCTCATTTCGCAGATGGCAGCGACCGAGGCCGTGCACCACATCCACTTACAGAACTTCTCTCGCTCACTCCTGGAGACCCTCAACGGGCAGAGGCTAGGCGGTCACTTCTGCGACGTGACCGTGCGCATCCGCGAGGCTTCCCTGCGTGCGCACCGCTGCGTGTTGGCGGCGGGCTCGCCCTTCTTCCAGGATAAGCTGCTGCTGGGCCATTCGGAGATTCGCGTGCCACCGGTGGTGCCTGCGCAGACGGTGCGCCAGCTGGTCGAGTTCCTGTACAGTGGCTCGCTGGTGGTGGCTCAGGGCGAAGCGCTGCAGGTGCTCACAGCGGCGTCGGTGCTTCGCATCCAAACCGTCATCGACGAGTGCACGCAAATCATCGCGCGGGCTCGGGTCCCCAGCGCCCCGGCGCCTGCACCTCTGCCACCACCCGTGCCCCCTCCACTGGCTCCCGCGCAGCTGCGGCACCGTCTGCGCCACTTGCTGGCCGCCCGCCCCCCTGGCCACCCCAACGCAGCACACAGCCGCAAGCAGCGCCAGCCTGCACGCCTGCAGCTGCCTGCTCCTCCAGCACCCATCAAGGCCGAGGGACCCGAGCCCGAGCCCGTGCTGACTGCCGCCCCCGAGGAAAGAGGTGAAGAGGATGACGACGAGGAGACGGATGAGGAGACCGATGCTGAAGAAGGGGAAGGCGGTGGCGGCGGCGGCGGCATGGGTGAAGGCCAGGCTCCCCCTGCCTTCCCCGACTGCCCAGGGGGCTTCCTTACCGCTGCAACAGACAGCGCGCGTGAGGACCCGCCTGCATCCACTGGCATCACTGATTATGGTGGTGCCGGGAGAGATTTCCTTCGGGGGACTGCGGTGACCGAGGATGTGTTCCCAGATAGTTATGTGTCCGCATGGCATGAGGAAGGCAACGGGGGTCCAGAAGGTTGTCCAGTGGAAACCTCTGCTCCACCACCGGACTGCGCCCTGGCTGGGCCTCGCCCCAGTGGCGGAAAGACCCCTGGACCCCCTGTGGCTCTCTTCCCCTTCCACCTGGGGGCCCCGGGTCCGCCAGCACCAACACCTCCTACTCCATCAGGGCCAGCCCCTGCGCCCCCGCCCGCCTTCTACCCCACGCTCCAGCCTGATGCGGCCCCCAGTGCTCAGCTCGGAGAAACTCCAGCTGTGCCTGCTGCCCCTGCTGCTCCGGCCACGGCTATCTCGGGCACTCCGGTGCGCGCCCCCGGTGCCTCAGGTGCTGAGCAACCGGCCTATGAGTGTAGCCACTGCCGCAAAACTTTCAGTTCTCGGAAAAACTACACCAAGCACATGTTCATCCACTCTGGTGAGTGGGAAGGGAGGAAGGGAAATCACCTCTACTCCCACAGATTTCCCGGATCCTTAGTCATTGGAGAGTTGGCTCCTGGGTGGGATTGGGCAGTTCAGAGGCTTTGTTTTGTGTTAACCTTAGAAGTCTGAAAAACCGTGTAAAGCGGTCGATTGGGAGGTGGGAGCCTGCCTTTCCAAAGCCTCCCAAGGTCTTAGAAAGCTAGATTCAGCTGGGAAATCAGGTTAAAGGAAGTGTTGGTGGGAAACGGACCAGCTTCCCTGGGTGGGAGCTGCAGGAAGAAGGCTTGGGGTGAAGAAACGTGGGTTTATTTCCTGTAAAAGTGGAGCATAGGCCCAGCGTTGGTGGCGTACGCCTTTAATCCCAGCACTCGGGAGGCAGAGGCAGGCGGATCTCTGTGAGTTCGAGACCAGCTTGGTCTACAAGAGCTAGTACCAGGATAGCCTCCAAAGCCACAGAGAAACCCTGTCTCGTAAAAAACCAAAAAAAAAAAAAAAAAAAAAAAAAAAAAGAAAAGAAAGGAAAAAAAAAGAAAGAAAGAAAAGTGGATCATAATATGGGTCTGAATAGAAAAAGCAAAAGGGTCCAGAAGTGACTAAGAGAGAAGTCCCTACCAAGGACAGGGTCCAGGGAGAGCAAGCTAGACTAATGTGTGTGGCTTGCTTTGTTGTCTGCAGGGGAGAAGCCACATCAGTGCGCCGTGTGTTGGCGGTCCTTCTCGCTACGCGACTACCTGCTCAAACATATGGTCACACACACCGGTGTGCGAGCCTTCCAGTGTGCTGTGTGTGCCAAGCGCTTCACGCAGAAGAGCTCGCTCAATGTGCACATGCGCACCCACCGGCCTGAGCGTGCTCCCTGCCCTGCCTGTGGCAAGGTTTTCTCCCATCGCGCACTGTTGGAGCGCCACCTGGCAGCTCACCCTGCACCTTGATTGGGATCCAGCCGTGCACAGTGCGCAGGCGCAATCAGACCCTTGGACGAGGCTCACTCCACCAGAAGTCTCTTGCTCTGGAGTACGGACGCTTTCCCTTCCCATCTCTCACGCCGTTTTCCCTGTGGACTTGGGACCCAGAACCCAATTTCCCTCCTACACACGCTTAGCATCTCTGGAAGGGACTGTGTAGAAGATGGTTAGGGACCCCGCCACCTCAGAGACCCAGACCATTTCCAGGTTGACCTGGGCATGGACTATTGGAACTGTGGAAACCTGATCAGGATTTTCACCCCACCCTCTGTCGGGGTATGATGTCTAGGGCTGTCCTCTGCCCCAGTGCTGGGCTAGAATTCTCTGACCTCACCCCCAGTCCGGAGCCACCCCTGTTTCATCGGACACCTATGGAGGCCCAGATAGACCTACCATGGGACTTTAGGATTCCGTTCTAATAAAGGACGTTGGGCCAGTGTGTACCTAGTAAGCTTTCTGGGCTATGGGATTGGAGCTTGGTCCCCACGTTCCTAGGTTGTACCTTTGCAGTCCTCTGAGATTTCCTGGACAGGTAGACAGACTTTGGTTTGATAACCTGGAATTGTATTTTGGGATTTAGGTTGGTGGGCTGCATATATAGCAATCATTCAGTTTTCTTTCTTTTCTTTTTTCCAGACAGTTTTTTTTTTTTGTTTTTGTTTTTTGTTTTTCGAGACAGGGTTTCTCTGTATTGTTTTGGAGGTTGTCCTGGAACTAGCTCTGTAAACAAGGCTGGCCTCGAACTCAAAGAGATCAGACTGCCTCTGCCTCCCGAGTGCTGGGATTAAAGGCGTGCACCACCACTGCCCAGCTCATCCAGTTTTCTTGAAATGTTCAATCCTGTAGGGAGGGGAGTCGAGTCCAATCCTGGCTGCTACATACACAATGCAGAAATCAAGTCCCCAGCAGAAACCTTTTAGACTCAAATTTCTCCCTTCCCCATTCTGATGGACGTGAATGTTGAACCTCTTACTTTTGAGGTGCCCTGTAGGGTTATTTGGGGGCCAGGTTGCCTTGAGGACGTTTGAAACGTGGATGTTGGCCTCCAAGTACTAGAGAACCCAGCGTGAATTGGATGGCCATGTCAGGGAAGTTGGAAACAAGAATGGCTAGGACCCAGGCTGCCTGTTGAATAGAGAAAGAGACCTAGTGGGCTGAAGAGGTGGCTCAGAGGTTAAGAGCACTGGCTGCTCTTGCAGGGGTCCTGAGTCCAATTCCCAGCAGCCACATGGTGGCTCACAACCATCTATAATGAGTTCTGGTATGTAGGCGTACATGCAGGCATACATAATAAATAAGTCTTTAAATAAATTAATTTTAAAAAATGACCTAGCATCAAAGAAACCAGCATTATATCTGTTGTCATCTCAGAGATTGGCATCACCCTCCCTGTCTCCTTCCTACCTCTGATACACTGATGTCTCACTGTAAGGATTTGGTACCAGGGGAGGAGCTCTAGCAGGGAAGGCCAGGCCCTGGTCCTAGCTGCTTGTCTTCTGGGCCCATGGAGCTCTTCTGTGGCCGGATGTCACAAGCAGAGCAAGACTCGGTCTACAAGGATAGCAGAAGTGAGTCAGAGTCCTAGTGCAGCAGGCTTATAGCAACCTACAGAAGTGTCTTTAAATCCAGCCGTCGTGTTTACTGAGCTGTTACTGTGTACCCGACAGTCAACAAGTTTCCCTTGATAGTTCAGGGCAAGGACTAGGTCTCATAAAAGGACCTCAAGGCAGGCAAGTAGAGACACAGGCTGAGCTTTTTTTTTTCCCCTCCAAGACAGGGTTTCTCTGTGTGACAATCAGTGTCCTGGAACTCGCTCTGTAGACCAGGCTGGTTCCGAACTCACAGAGATCCCACCTGCCTCTTCTTCCTGAGTGCTGGGACTAAGGGCTGGCTATTTGTGTGTGTGTGTGTGTGTGTGTGTGTGTGTGTGTGTGTGTGTGTGTGTGTTTGCATTAGTATTTTTGCCATGGGAACTTTCAGGTCCCCTGAAACTAGAGTTAGAGACATTCGTGAGCTGCCATGTGGGTGCTGGGAGTTGAACCTGGGACCTCTGGAAGAACAGCCAGTTCTCGTAACCACTGAGCCATCTCTCCAGCTCCCGAGGTGTGCTTCTTACTGTGCCTTTTCACTTGGCTGGAGTTAGACAGGTCTTATCTCCAGTCTCCCTGATTTCCCATAGGTAACAGACACGTGATGGGGACACATGCTAGTCTTCCAAAGGAGGCTGGTTGGGGGTGTCCAAAGGAGGCGGGGCAGGCCTGGTAATGAGCTAGAGGGCTGGACTCCCAACCAGTAAGAACTATGTAACAAAAGGACAAGGTCCAGGGGACAAGAGAAGTTGTTGGTAGTACCTGGTCATATTTGGGGAGTAGGCAGATCCTGTTAATAGCGGGAAGCTAGGGCTTCGGAGCTCTGGGTCGAGTTGGGACTACACGGCTCTCAGCCACTTCAGAAAGAGTCAGTGCCATGGGTGTTTGGCCGAAACTGATTTTCCTACTACTGTTGCTGCTTCTGCTGATTGGCCTGAGGCAGCCCCCATGGCCAGCAGCTATGGCCCTGGCCCTCCGTTGGCTCCTGGGAGACCCCACGTGCTTTGTGCTGCTTGGTTCGGCCTTGTTGGCCAAACCCTGGATCAGCTCCTGGATGCCCCACTGGCTGAGTATGGTAGCTGCCGCTCTCACATTAACTCTGTCGCCTCCACAGCCACCCCCGGGGCTCCGCTGGCTCCACAAGGATGTAGCCTTCACGGTTAAGATGCTCTCCTGTGCCTTGAAAACTAGGCAAGCCCTTAACAAGCGACCTCCAGAGACCTTTGTGGATGCTTTGGAGCGACAGGCACGTGAACGGCCTGACCAGGTGGCCTTAGTGTGTACGGGGTCTGGGGCCGGCTCCGTCACCAATAGGCAGCTGAATGTCAGGGCCTGCCAGGCAGCGTGGGCACTGAAATCAAAGCTGAAGGATGCCACCAGCCAGCAGGCCCGAGACATTGCTGCCCTGTTAGTGCTCCCCTCCAAGAACATCCCAGCTTTGACTGTGTTTCTGGGGTTGGCCAAGCTGGGTTGCCCTGTGGCCTGGATCAACCCACATGGCCGCGGGATGCCCCTGCTACACTCTGTGCTGAGTTCTGGGGCCAGGGTGCTTATTGTGGACCCAGGTGAGTACCCCAGGGGCAGTGAAAAAGGGGGTCAGAAGCAAGGGAGATCAGAAGTTTCTGGAAGCTGGGCAGAGGGCCTTTGTTGTATCTACTCCTGGCCCATGCAATTAAGGGTCAAAATGTTGGTTACCTGGAAAGTAATTCTACAGTCATCACTTGAAATATATTTTCCTAAATCTTTGTACCCTATTTGATTAATTTTTTTTTGTGTGTGTGTGTGTGGGTTCCAGATAGGGTTTCTCTGTAGCATTGGAGGCTGTCCTGGAACTTGCTCTGTAGACCAGGCTAGTCTCAAACTCTCAGGGATCCACCTGCCTCTACCTCCCAAGTGCTGGGATTAAAGGCATGGGCCATGATGTCCAGCTTTATTTGACTATATTTCATAAAGTTCTTTTGTTTGTTTTCTTTGTGTTTCAAGACAGGGTTTCTCCATGTAGCCCTGGATGTCCTGGAACTTGATCTATAGACCAGGCTGGCCTCGAACTCAGTGATCCCCCTACCTCTGCTTCCAAAGTGCTAGCTGGGATTAAAGGTGTATACCACCACCACAGCCTGGCTTTATAAAGTTCTTTTTTGTTGTTGTTTTTTTTTTTTTTTTTTTTTTTGAGACAGGGTTTCCCTGTGTATCTTTGGCTATCCTGGAACTCACTTTGTAGACCAGGCTGGCCTCGAATTCACAGAGATCCACCTGCCTCTGCCTCCTGAGTGCTGGGTTCTTTATCCAAGAATGAGGAAGCTTTTCTCTGCCATCTGCTTTTCTGCCTCTGGGTCTCCGGAACTCCCTCTTGACTTGGAAGGAAGGTAAGATTTACCTCTTTTTCTCCTCTGGTCCCTGTAGACCTGCATGAGAACTTGGAAGAAATCCTCCCCAAGCTGCTAGCAGAAAACATCTGCTGTTACTACCTTGGCCACAGCTCACCCACTCCAGGTGTGGAGGCTCTGGGGGCTGCCCTGGACTCAGCACCTTCGGACCCAGTACCTGCCAGTCTCCGAGCTAAGACCCAGCGGCGAAGCACCGCCTTACTCATCTATACCTCAGGAACCACTGGTGAGGAGGCCGACGGCCCTGCCCCCACCCTCCACATTCTAACTTTGACCTCATTCACTTGCCATCAAACCTTCTGTTTGTCCTCTGACACCAAACCTCTGACTTTAACTCTGACCCCAAGTACGGTTGTGTTTTGTTTGGATTTATTATCTTTAGCTCTAGAAACCAGCCACAGAGCCGGGATGTGGTGCTGTTCCCATGTAAATCCCAGCTCTCAAGAGAGACGAGAGGCTGGAGGACACAGAGGTCAGGGTCTGTGCCTTTAGGTGGGTCTAATACGAAAACCAAGCAATACACAAATTAGCATGCCTGCACCCATGCATGGATGACAGGCAAATTCATGGAGCATTCCATTCCACATTTTTAAAAAGGAAAAAAAATTCAAGCTAAGGCGTGGCAATGTACGTCTTTAATCCCAGCACTCCGGAGGCAGAGGCAGGAGGATCTCTGTGAGTTCGAGGCCAGCCTGGTCCGTAGAGCGAGTTTCAGGACAACCAGGGAAAGTTTGTCTCAAAAAGACCAAAATAGTGAATAACTACATAAGTAAATAAATAAATAAATAGGGAATGAAGGTTCTTTTTAACGAAAGGGAAAATGGAAAAAAGAGAAAAAGACGGAAGAAAGAGAGGGAGGGAGGGAGGGAGGGTTTAAGGCCAGTGTGAATCCAGGCTAGTTTGAGTCAGAGAGAGAGAGAGAGAGAGAGGGAGAGAGAGAGGGAGAGAGATCTTCTCTCAAAAAAAAAAAAAACATGCAAAACAAAAAACCAAAAGCAAAACCAGGCAGACGCTTACCAAGTTTTCATATTTATTGTTATTTATTTTTTGATCTTTTGAGACTGTCTTGCTCTAGAAGCCTTAACTGGCTTCAAACTCCCTATGTAGCTGCCTCACCCTCTTAAGTGCCAGGAATACAGGCTTATCTGACCTTAACCAGAAAAATCTTCATACTGGGTCCCCTCTGAGAGCCTCAAACACGGGCAGACTTGTCTGTGGAGACCCGCTGTGGTGGGGTGGTTTCTCTTCCCTTATTGCTCTCTCTCACCCTCCAGGACTCCCAAAGCCAGCCATTGTCTCATATGAGCGAGTCTCACTCATGAGCAAGATGACGTCGTTCTGTGGGGCCACCTCGGATGATGTGGTCTATGTTGTTTTACCTCTGTACCATGTGAGTGGCCTTGTCCTCGGAGTCCTGGGCTGCATAGAACTTGGTAAGTCTCCGAATTTGGTAAATAGCCAAAGGTAGCCTTGAACTTCTGATCATCCTGAGTAATCTCTCAAGTGCTGGATTACAGGTGTGTACCACCATGCCCAGTTTTAGATACTTTAACTTTTTTTTTTTCCTTGAAAGATGAGGTATTAGACTGGTGGTGGTGGTGGCATATGCATTTAATCCTAGCACTTGAGAGACAGAGGCAGGTGGAGCTCATGGCCAGCCTGGTCTACAGAGTGAGTTCCGGGATAGCCAGAGCTACATAGAGAAACCCTGTCTCGAACTGCCCTCCCCACCAAAAAACAAACAAAAAAATCTTTATAAAAAATCAAGCCGGGCGTTGGTGGCGCAGGTCTTTAATCCCAGCACTCGGGAGGCAGAGGCAGGCGGATCTCTGTGAGTTCGAGACCAGCCTGGTCTACAAAGTGAGTTCCAGGACAGCCTCCAAAGCCACAGAGAAACCCTGTCTCGAAAAAACCAAAAAAAAAAAAAAAAATCAAACCAGGACAAAAAGAAAATGCCTTCTAGAGGCTGCTATAGTTTGTTTTATTTTGCAGGGTAGGAGATGGAGCCCAGGACCTTATACATGACAGGCCCGTCTCTAGTGAATTTGGGGCAAATGCTCTATCACTGAGCTACACTGATGTGGGAGGGTCCCTCTGTATGCTGCAAATATGTATTCTTTTATTGGTTGATAAATAAAGTTTTTCTGGCCAATGTACAGGCAGGATTTAGGTAAGTGGTGGGAATTCCAAATAAAGAGTCAGGAAAAAGAAAGACAAAAGATGCCAGGCGTTGGTGGTGCACGCCTTTAATCCCAGCACTCGGGAGTCAGAGGCAGGTGGATCTCTGTGAGTTCGAGGCCAGCCTGGTCCACTGAGCGAGTTCCAAGAAGGACACCTGGGCTTTCTCCCAGTAATATAAGGGCATATGGAGATACACAGATGAATAGTTATGGGTTAATAATTAAGAGAGGCTGGGTAGTGGTGACACACACCTTTAGTCCCCCCAGCACTCGGGAGGCAAAGGCAGGCAGATCTCTTAAGTTCGAGACCAGCCTGGTGTACAAGAGCTAGTTCTAGGACAGCCTCCAAAGCCACAGAGAAACCCTGTCTTGAAAAACAAAACAAAAAAATTAAGAGAGAGCTAGCCAGTAAAAAGCCTAAGCCATTGGCTAAACAATTATAATGTGTATTAAGTCTCTGAGTGGTCATTTTGTTAATCAGCTGTGGGACCTGGTGAGTGGAGAAAAAATGGGTCCAATGGAACCCAGAGTAGACGGGGACAATCTCCTTTTACACTCTACAACCATCCCTGCACTTGGGGCAGGCCTGGGCCAAACTCCTAAGACCTCACCGGTAAAGTTCAGCTGTAGGTCATTGTCACAGAGTGCGGCATTATTTTGCGTGTGACATGCTTCTCTCAGCAACACGGAACAGGAACATGGTGGCTCATTGTTTTTCCCTTACCAGGAGCCACCTGTGTCCTGGCCCCCAGGTTCTCTGCCTCTCGCTTCTGGGCTGATTGTCGACAGCACCGTGTGACGGTGATCCAGTATGTGGGCGAGGTCCTTCGATACCTGTGTAACGTACCTGAGGTAAGGCTCCAGGAGTAAGGCTCCAGAGTGAACTCCCAGGCATGGAGCTCTGGACGGCTGTCCAGATAACGTTGTCAGATAAAGATTTAGATACAAATGAAGACATGACCCAGAAGTAGAGTAGAGGCTTAGCATGTATGAGACCTGACATCAAAGACCCCATACCTATGTGTCTCAAGCAAGGTCACTTCTCGGCTAGCTCAATGTTAGCCTGGGTTACACTGAGACTCTGTCTCAAAACAAAGTCTCACAGGATATGTTCCAAACACTTTCCACATTTTCTTTTTTTAAAATATTTATTTATTATGTATACAGTATTCTGTCTGCATGTATCCCTGCAGGCCAGAAGAAGGCACCAGATCTAATTATGGATGCTTGTGAGTCACCATGTGTGGTTGCTGGGAATTGAACTCAGGACCTCTGGAAGAGCAGTCAGTGCTCTTAACCTCTGAGCCACCTCTCCAGCCCTACATTTTCTTTTTTTTTTTTTAAGTGCTTATTTATTTGTTTGATTATTTAGTACACAGTGTTCTGGCTGCATGTATTCCTGTGGACCAGAAGAGGGCACCAAATCTCAATACAGATGGTTGTGAGCCACCATGTGGTTGCCAGGCATTGAACTCAGGACCTCGGGAAGAGCAGCTTGTGTTCTTAATTACTCCATCTCTCCAGCCCGCTTTCTAATGTGTGCTTTGGTGGTTAGTCACCTGGGCTAGCGTGTCCTAGTTGCCTTTTGCTGTAAAACATGAAAAAAACCTAAGGAAGAAAAGGTTTCTTTGGCTCACAGTTCTAGATTATAGTGCATCGCTGTGGCGGAGTCAAGGCGGCAGGAATTTAAAGCAACCCCTCATATGACATCCACAGTCAAGAGCCTCAAGTAATGAATTAATGCGCGCATGCCAATACGCACTTGGCGGTTTCCCCTTCATTTAGTTCAGCCTATAAGATGACGTCACCCACATGCAGGATGGGTCCTCCAAAGTCACTGCCTCAGATGCATGCCACAGTCCAATCTAACCTATGCAGTCGTTCTCTGAGACCCCTTCTAGATTGTGTGAAGATGGCAAACTATCACAACGGTTTCAGTAGCTTCATTTGAGAAGCCTAGATGAGGACAGTCCCAATCTGGACATTAACCAGCCCTGGATCTCAGTTTACAAATGTAACTACTAATGGTACATACTGGCATAAATAAGAATACCTCCTACCTGAAGGGAGCATTGTAAACATGAAATGAATTGACTATATAAAGTACCTGGAACAATGTGACTCAGGGTAAACCAAGACAGGGTTTTTCTGTGTATCTATAGAGCTGCCCTGAAACTTGTGCTATAGACCAGGCTGGCCTTGAACTCATAGAGATCCATTTGCCTCTGCCTCCTGAGTGCTGGGATTAAAGGTGTGAGCCACCAATCCTGGCAAGATGCTCTTATTCATTTTTTTTTTTTTTTTGGTTTTTCCAGGCAGGGTTTCTCTGTATTGTTTTGGAGGCTGTCCTGGAACTCGCTTTGTAGACCAGGTTGGCCTTGAACTCACAGAGATCCACCTGCCTCTGCCTCCCGAGTGCTGGGATTAAAGGCATGCGCCACCAACGCCCAGCTTAAGATGTTCTTATTCTTATTTTTTTTAAGATTTATTTATTTATTGTGAATAAAGGCCAGAGGAGGGCACAAGATCTCATTACAGATGGTTGTGAGCCACCATGTGGTTGCAGGGAATTGAACTCAGGACCTCTGGAAGAGTAGCCAGTGCTCTTAACTGCTGAGCCATCTCTCCAGTCCCGATGCTCTTATTCTTATAGAGTAATGAGCTGTCTGTAGACAATATGCCCCACCTCCCAGTTTCTCCCCGATCCTTCAGTTTCAAATCAAAAGCCCCATGAAAAATCCCTTCTTGGTTAAGTTCCCTTCCTTAGGTAACACTTCAAGATAAGGTTTCAAATAACTCTCCAGTTTACCTATAGGTGAATGTCACCACTCCACAGAAACCCTAGTAGATAATGCCTCCAGGTAACAATTCTCCTAGATCAGTGTTCCTGGAAACTACCCCAAGTAGGTGAGATGCCTGCTGGAGGTACAATTAGAGGTGGTTGATGTCTCCAGTTACTCCTAGCTAGGTAACTCTACAGATGAGGCTACCCCAAGAAAGTTCCTATAGGTAAAACTCCCCTATAGTGTCTGCAGTGATAATTTATCTGGGGATGATAATATTTGTTTTTCCAAGATGGGCTCTCCCTATATATTTCAGGATGGCCTGTAATTTGCTATGCAGCTCATTCTCATCTCCAACTGATAATCCTCCTGCTTCTGTTTCCTGAGTGCTGGGATTATAGGTATTCCCAGTACCCATATCTATCTCTTTTTAAGTACCCCAAGTAGATTCCCTAAGTATAGGTCCCACCATTAACACTTTCTATGTAATTCCCAATATTAACACTTAAGATACTTTCTTCAGGCCGGGCGTTGGTGGCGCACGCCTTTAATTCCAGCACTCGGGAGGCAGAGGCAGGCGGATCTCTGTGAGTTCGAGACCAGCCTGGACTACCAAGTGAGTTCCAGGACAGCCTCCAAAGCCACAGAGAAACCCTGTCTCGAAAAACCAAAAAAAAAAAAAAAAAAAAGATACTTTCTTCAGGAAGACTTCGTTCCCAGCCATACCTGCCAGGGCACCACCTTCTGACCCTTCTTGGAATGTCCCCGCAGCAACCAGAAGACAAGAAACATACAGTCCACTTGGCAATGGGCAACGGGCTTCGGAAAGATGTGTGGGAAACCTTCCAGCAACGCTTTGGTCCCGTTCGGATCTGGGAATTCTACGGCTCCACAGAGGGCAACATGGGCTTAATGAACTATGGGGAACGCTGCGGGGCAGCGGGCAAGACCAACTGCTTCCTTCGAGTGAGTGGGCGGGACTCCCAGTACGATGGTGGTCCTGAGGATGAGCCCCCCCAGGACCTTTGCCAATGCTCCCCATCCTCCATCCCAGATGCTGAGTCCCTTTGAGCTTGTACAGTTTGACATGGAGACGGCAGAGCCTTTGCGGGACAAACAGGGTTTCTGCATCCCTGTGAGGTCAGGTAAGGAGGTTCAGCAAGCCACCTGTGGATGTGTGAGGGCCAGTCACCTCCACCTCCTTAGCTAGAACAAGCTGCCCAAAGTCCTTTTATGATTTTTTTTTCTCCCAGTGTTTGAGTATAATATCTCATGTAGCCCAAGCTGGTCTTGAACTCTTAATCCTTCTGCCTCTACTTCCCAAATGCTAGGATTACAGGAGTGTGCCACCATGCCTGGCCCAAAGCCTTAACACAGTGATAGGTGGTGGCGTCTGCAATCCTCAGCTTGAACTCAAGTCACTGGCCTGTCTGACCATCACTTGGGGACCTCTGCCTTATAGGATTTTGACTTTGCCTAGCTCTCCTGCTTCAGTTTTATTCTGTTACACTACATTGCTCTGTGACTTTTGGTTCTCTTGAGCTTTCTATAGGGGTCACAACCTCCTAGATATCAGTCCCTTACCCTGTACCTATCTTCTCTCCTGGGGGTTTGCAAGGGCTCTGGCATATCTTTCTTCCAAACCCCATTTGTCAGTTCCTTCCCCCTCGCCCTGAGTCTCATGGACACTCTGATGCTACCTTCTCTTTTTCAGAACTCTCTGATTTTGTCTTTTGGTTTCACTTTAGGGCTCAGTGCACATCTTTTAAATGTTTAATATATATTTGCCTGCATTTATGTATGTGCACCGTGTGTGTGCTTGGTGCTTGGGGTAGGCAGAAGAGGATGCAAATCCCCTGCAACTAGAGTTGCAGGAGGTGGTTGTGAGACACCTTGTGGATGGTGGCAACCTAATCTTAGATCCTCAGGAATGACAGCCACGGTTATATATTTATTTATTATGTATACAATCTTCTGGCTACATGCCAGCAGAGGACTGCATGCCAGCAGAGGGTGCCAGATCTCATTCAAAGTGGTTGTGAGCCACCATGTGGTTGCTGGGAATTGAACTCAGGACCTCTGGAAGAGCAGTCAGTGCTCTTAACCGCTGAGCCATCTCTCCAGACCCACAGCCAGGGTTCTTAACCACTGAACTGACTGTCTTTCCAGCAGTACAATTTAGTTCTACCTTTGGCTGGATGAAGAATGAGGGAACCCTAACATGGGCTACCTCATGAGCTGGTGGGCTTCTCACTTAGGGCTTATTTTCCATTTATTTTATTTATTTATTTATCTATCTATTTATTTATTTATTTATTTATTGGTTTTTCGAGACAGGGTTTCTCTGTAGCTTTGGAGGCTGTCCTGGAACTCACTTTGTAGACCAGGCTGGCCTCGAACTCACAGAGATCCGCCTGCCTCTGCCTCCCGAGTGCTGGAATTAAAGGCGTGCGCCACCAACGCCCGGTTTCTTATTTTCCATTTATACCTCCAGGGGAGGCAGGACTCCTGTTGACCAAGGTACTAAAGAGTCAACCCTTTCTGGGCTACCGTGGTCCCCAGGAACAGTCCAAGCGGAAACTGGTTACGGATGTGGGGCGCAGAGGAGACCTCTACTACAATACTGGAGATGTACTGTCCTTGGACAGAGAAGGCTTCTTCTACTTCCGGGACCGCCTGGGCGACACCTTCCGGTCAGGCATTGGTGGGCTGGGGATGGGGCTTCTGGGGTGTCCAGCCTCCCTAGGGATGGGTGGGGCCCACTCTTCCCAGGTGTAGAACATCCCTTTGGAACATGTCCTTTATTCCTGGGGTGTGGCTTCTCTTCCCAGGGACAGAACATCCCTTCTTGGGGCTGGGGTCTCTCGGGGAGGGTAGTATCCCTTTCAGGGATCACTCCTATCCTGGGTCATGGCCTCCCACCCCGCAGGTGGAAGGGTGAAAATGTATCCACTCGAGAGGTGGAGGGAGTGTTGTTGAGCTTAGAGTTCCTACAGGAAGTCAATGTGTATGGCGTGCCTGTGCCAGGTATGGAGAACTTGCCCGACTTTAAACATCCTGTGCCTTTGTGGGTGGCTGTCATTGCCATTGGGGACGCTGTTGGGGTGCAGAGGGGTTAAGAGCTGCAGCTCATTGCACAGCTAGTGAGCAGAGCAGGCACTGGCGGGAGTGACCAGTGTGCTTTCCAGGGTGCGAAGGTAAGGTTGGCATGGCTGCTGTGAAGCTGGCTCCTGGGCAGACGTTTGATGGGCAGAAGCTGTACCAGCACGTCCATTCCTGGCTCCCTGCTTACGCCACACCTCATTTCATCCGCATCCAGGTGAGGGAGAGGTACCAGGAGTGGATGAATCCATAAGGGAATTGGTGTCCCAGTCAGGGGAGTCACAATTACTGCCTTGCAGGACTCCCTGGAGGTCACAGGCACCTTCAAGTTGGTGAAGGTACAACTGATGCGTGAGGGTTTTGATGTGGGAGTCATTGCTGACCCCCTGTACATACTGGACAGCAAGAACCAGACCTTCCGGAGTCTAACACCAGACACGTACAAGGCTGTGCGTGAGGGAACGTGGAAGCTATGACCTCCTCACCTGAAAGGCTATCCAAAAGTGTGGGAATCGATACTGGCCAGGGTTCTCGCCGTCAACGTCACAAAGTTGTCAGGATCCCAGATGCCCGTGGCCTAACATCACTTAGGGAATAAACTTGAATGTGTATGCAGAAGTCTGTGTGTGGGTTTGAAACAATACATGTATGTAGCTCTTCAGTGCTGCACCCTGCCCCACCCTGCCCCATGTGTGCCTCCAGGGTTTTGCCAAAGACCATACACACACACACACACACACACACACACACACACACACACACACACACGGAGCTGTCCCTGTCAGAACAAGGTGGAGGGTATGGGAGGACCAGCTTTGAAGTTTTGAAGCTAATCCAGTGAAGAGAGTGCTGACTGCAACTCTGGGTCTTTGATAGCGTGAAACTCTCTATGTAGACAAGGGTGGCCTTGAACTCAGAGATCTGCCTCCCTCTGCCTCCCAAGTGCTGGAATTAAAGGCTCCCACCACTATGCCCAGCTCCCTATTATTTTTACTATGTGAATGTATGTGTGCAAGTATATGCATGTGAGTGCATGTACCTACAGAGATCAAAGGTATCAGATTTCCTTGGAGCCATCTGGTGTCCGTGCAGGGAACTGAACCCAGGTCCTCTGCAAGAGCAGCATGTACTCTTAACCATTGAGCCATCTCTCCAGTCCCTCATATGTCATTTTAAAGCCCAAGGAGTGACAAGTGATGTTTAGCTGGGTGGTGGGAGGCAGAGGAAGGCAGATCTCTGTGAGTTCGGGGCCAGCCTGGTCTACAGAGTGAGTTCCAGAACAGCCAGAGCAAAGCAGTAAAACCCTGTCGTGAAAACCCTCACTCCCCCAAAAAGTGATGTTTATACTTCTAGTGTTACCAGGTATCTTAGAGTTCCTGTGAATATGATGAGACACCATGACCAAAAGCAAAATGGAGAGGAAAGGGTTCATTTTATTTATTTATTTTGTTTGTTTTTCGAGGCAGGGTTTCCTAGTAGCTATGGAGCCAGTCCTGGAATTCGCTCTGTAGACCAGGCTGGCCTCATGCTCTGAGATCTGCCTGCCTCTGCCTCCTAAGGGCTGGGATTAACGGTGATGAGCAAAGCTGTTTCAACCAATGGACAGGCAGGACATAGCCAGGCAGGAAATCCAAATAGGGATAGAGAAGAGTAGCAGGTGGAGTCAGAGAGACACCATGTAACCGGTGAGGAAGCCAAGATTCATAGAAGTGGGTTAATAACTAAGAGAGAGCTAGCCAATGATAACCCTGAGCCATAGGTCAAAACAGCCTCTGTGTTTATTTGGGACTAAACAGCTTCGGAACCAGGCAGGACAGAAACTTCCAACTACGGCTTCTAACTCGGATATCCATCGGCCTGTCTCCTGAGTACTGGGGTTAAAGGCAGTCACCATCACATTCATTATCAGCTTGTTTGTTTTTTTCAATATTTTATTTATTTATTTATTATGTATACAATCTTCAGCATGCCAGTAGAGGGCACCAGATCTCATTCAAGGTGGTTGTGAGCCACCATGTGGTTGCTGGGAATTGAACTCAGGACCTCTGGAAGAGCAGCCAGTGCTCTTAACCTCTGAGCCATCTCTCCAGTCCTAGGCTTCACTTCTAATAATTTAGAAATAAAGGGACCAGATCCTCACTCAGCCCCCTGCTTTAGCAGCCATGACAGGCTACAGAAAAGACACGTAGGCCTCTGACACAAGGAAACTCCAGTTCCTCTGGCCTCCCGGAGTCTTGGCCAAAACTGAACACAAAGAAACTCCAGACCCCCACCCACCCACCCAGCCTCCTAGATACTTGGTTCCTGGGAACTGTTTGATCACAAAGAAACTGCAGGGAAGACCAAAACCTCCCTTGTAGTCTCCAGGATATAGTTCTGAAAACTATTAGTATCTATGTACAACAGGCCACCTGCAAGTAATAAGACAATGCCATAGAAACCACAGAATGTTCCCTCTCAGCACTGGCTAATGAAAATAATTGGAACACAGGCATTTCATGCCAAAATATTACTTTGAGAAATTCTCCTAATTGTTCCCAAATGTCAACCAATCAGAAACCAACCCATTCCTACCGATGTAATCCTGTATCTTTTGTCTTTAAAACCTAGCAGTAGACAGGGAACTTCACTTCCTCTGGAGGCTGCTGTCCTAGCTAGCCAGACGGGGTCCCTGTCATGGGTGGATGAACAATTAGAACCTTGCTTTTGCAGTTTAGTGGGTCTGTCCTCCTGGTGGTCTCTGGGGACTTTGAAACTTGGGCACAATAGGCATAAGCCATCAGTTTACATAAGATCTGGTTCCAGGCAGGCGGATCTCTGTGAGTTAGAGGCCAGCCTGGTCTACAAGAGCTAGTTCCAGGACAGCCTCCAAAGCCACAGAGAAACCCTGTCTCGAAAAATCAAAAAAAAAAAAAAAATCTGGTTCTAGATTTCCTGTCTTGTTTTCCTCATTCCCAGTCCTCCCTCTCAGGAACCTGTCACTCAAGAAGGGCCTGCTGGTTCAGGTTGGGGATGTACAACCAGTTTATGCAGTACTGGGAAGCTTTGTGCATGCTGGGGAAAACACTGCTAGTCAGGGTTATTTTTGCAGTGATGAAACACTATGACGGAAAGCAACTCGAAGATCAAAGGGTTTATTTGGGTTACATAATGCGTCCCAATCCATTATGGGAGGCCTGACACAGGAATTCGAACCAGGCAGTGTAGCGGCACCTAGTCTTGCTAGTGTAGTGTGGTAGTGGCCACACTCCTTTCTTTTTGCGTTTTTTGTTTTTTTTTTAATGATTTTTAAAAGATTTATTTATTACATATACACTGTTCTGCCTACATGCCAGAATATTGAATATTAGATGGTTGTGAGCCACCATGTGGTTGCCGGGAATTGAACTCAGGACCTCTGGAAGAACAGTCAGTGCTCTTAACCACTGAGCCATCTCTCCAGCCCTCCCACTCCTTTCTTTTTGCGTTTTGTTTTTGTTTTTTGAGACAGGGTTTCTCTGTGTAACAGCCCTACTGTCCTGGAAGTCATTCTGTAGAGCACTGGCCTCGAACCCACAGAGATCCACCTATCTCTGGTTCCCTAGTGCTGGGATTGAAGGTGTGTGCCAGCACCACCCGGCTTTCGCATGTATGGGCGTTTTGCCTGCACACATGTCTTGCAGTGTGCACAGAGACCTGAAGACGGCATCAGACGGCCTGGAACTGGAGTCACAGACAGTTAGAGCTGCCATGGAGTTGGCTAAGAATTGAAGCCAGATCTTCTGAAAGAGTAGACAGTGCTCTTAACTGCTGAGCCGTTGCTCCATTCCCTGAAGTTTTTTTTTAATTCCCCTGGAGCTTTTTATCCAAGAGGATATATAAATTGTTGCGTTGGGGAGACGGGTCATATGTTTAACATTTTTTCATTGACTCTTTGGGAATGTCACATCATGTACCCCAACCCCACTCATCTCCCAGTCTCTCTGTGTCCACTCTTCACCTTGTAGCGTCCCTCCCACAAGGAAATCTCAAAAAAAAGCAAAAATATTAAAACAAAACCACAAAACAACAAAAAGAAAACACACACACACAATCACTCCTGTCTTTTCCACCTATCACCTCTTTATCCGTCTTAGTGGCTTCGGGAGCTGTAGTGTGTGACACAGTAGACCCTTTTGTTCAAACAGCTTTACTTACAAATATTCGTTGTGTAATGTTCTGGCACACACACCAACAATACTGGACTCCCACCAACGTACCTCTCATATATTCTGCTGTTGCTCGGAGTCATGGAGATACTGCGGCTGTGGTTCTGAAGGATGTGCTCCAGATGGGGTAGATATTGGGGTGGGCCAACTCAAAAGTCCTGGATGTGTGCCTGGGTGGCAGTTGGAGGATGGCTCACCTTTTAAAGTGCTTGTGGTATAAGCAAAGGAACGAGAGACTGGATCCTCAGAATCCACATAAATGCCGGGTGGGTGTGGCGGCTCCTCTGTCATCCCAGCCTCAGAATTCGGATGCATGATGAGATGAGCCACATCAGTAAACTATGAGTTTGACTGAGAAACCCTGCTTCAGAGCATAAGCTGGAAAATGAGGAAGATTCCCAACATCAACCTCAGGCCTCCAGGACACCTGAATACATGTGCACCCACACATTCAAACACACGCATCCCATACTTCTGTGTGTCTACACTGTTGTCAAACACTCTGCATTCTGTCTTTTGTTATTAAGATTGGAAAAACCACCAAAAGACACTGATTTTGTTTATTTTTAAACTGTTTTATCAGACTAGGTCTCATGTAAAACAGGCTGAGGCTTGCTATGTAGCCAAGAAAGACCTTGAACTCCTAATCCTCCACCTTCTGGGATTACAGGTTTGCACCAAGACAGCTATGAAAAACACCAACTGTTCAACAATTAAGGCAGTCTTCTGGCTGGGCAATGGTGGTGCACACCTTTGATCCCAGCACTCGGGGAGGCAGAGGCACTCAAATCTCTGAGTTTCAGGCCAGCCTGGTCTACAGAGAGAGCTCTGGGACACCCAGGGCTACACAAAAAAAAACCTTGTCTTGAAAAAGCACCCCTCAAAAAAAAAAACCCAACCAAACTAAAACAAACCCCAAACAAACCAACAACAAAAAGTCTTATGAATGAGCTGGAGCCAACTGCAGGACAAGAGCCGGGAGACCGTGTGCTGAGCTCCTGGTCCCACTCAAGGAAGTGACTGACTTGTCTGCTATCAGGCCTAAGTTTGAGTGAGGGTTTGTTCAGCCATCCCTGTGGGAACAGTGGGGAAGGGAATTTACTGACTGATGTTTGAGGCTCTCTCTTCCAGTTTCACTTATTAACATAGTCCGTGAGAGTTGGCTTTAGTTTAAATCATCACATCACCACTCCCATGGATGTTTCCAGTCAGACAAATCTAGCACACATCCCAGCTCTGTCCATCACTAGGTCAGTTAGGCTAGTGGTGAGGGTGGTGAGGTTATCTGAGCCTCTGCTAAGTTTAACCAGGGGCAGCGGTAAGGAAAAAACGCAAGTAGGGAGGAAGGAAAAGGTAGGATAAGATTACAGAAAGACTCTGTGGAGGCTCGAAACAGCTGGAATCGTATGGAAAGACACCTTCTCCCCAGTCTTTGCCCATCTTAGCCCAAGGAAGGAGAGATGCGTGGTTACCACAGCAGGGGCCACCTGGCAAATTTGTAGGTATAGAGGTGGTGGCACACACCTGTGCTCCCAGCATTCAGAAGGCATAGGCAGGAGAGGACATGGGCTGTATGACTTCTTGCCAAGAAAAAAAAAAACCCTCAAAACAACAATGACAAAACAAAACAAAAACAAAAAAACAAAAAGAGGAGCTGGGTGTTGGTGGCACACGTCTTTAATCCCAGCACTTGGGAGGCAGAGGCAGGTGGATCTGAGTTCAAGGGCAGTCTGGTCTACAGAAGCCAGTCTGACCTCCAACTGACAGAGTTCTGCCTCCAATACTGAATCCTGCCCCACACTTCCCAACTTTAAAATGACAAGTATTTAATGTCTTAGCCTGGCCTGTTGGTGGCACACATCTTTAATCCCAGCACTCAGGAGGCTGTGGCTGGAGGCCTACAGAGAGTTTGAGGTCAGCCTGGGCATTACAGTGAGACTATCTCAAACACACATGCAGAGAATTTCCAAATACCAACCTGGGCTTGGTGGGACAAGCCTATAGAGTTTCAGCACCCAGGGAGCTGAGACAGGAGGATCACTGGTTACAGGTCAACCTAGGCCATGTGAGGAGGTTCCATCTCAAACAAAATAAAATCTCTTGCCTCATCATCTGACCTTAAGATGGTGATCACATCCAGGGACATGGAAGGGCCCCATGCCACCACACAAGGCCTGTTTATTGTGAAGAGTCACTGAACCAGCAAGATAAACAGCTGCCTGCTGCTGAAGATGGAAAAGAAGGCCTGAGCCAAGGGCCTCAGGTAACCTCTGTACCTTCCACAGGGAGCCTGACACCCTAGTGCCTTCGATCTAGTGAGATACATTTGAGGCTTGATGTTGGCCCAGTTAGTAAATAAACTTGTTCTGAGCCACCTGGTTTACAGGAATAGTTAATAGGACACCACGCACTGATAAATCTTGAGGGACTGTCCGGAGGGTCAGTTCCCTGGACAGCAGGGAGAGGCTCTTTGCTCTCCAGTTTAATGATGAATTGGTTGGTTGCCTGGGACGTAGGTCTGACCCGGAGGCACGCACGGCCTTTACCATTGGTCCATGTCCAGGTTCAGGAATTCGGAGGCCAGAGAGGTGGCCAGCAAAGCTGGCGCCCAACGAGCTAGTTAGGTTGAAGGAGCCAAGTGGCCTATGCTCAACTGCCCTGTGGTTCCTGAGGCTGGTCAGCCAGCATACAAGGGCTGCCCGCCGTTTTGATCAGTGGAAGCCAGAAGTCAGAATTCTTCCTCGGAAACCCCAGCTATATACGTTAGGTAACAAATTAAGCATGTTAGTTGAGGGTCACATGCAAGAGCATGGGAAGGCAGCTTGCGGTTCCCTGTACCTTCCACAAGACTTCTTGCTCAGCCACTGCAAGGAGGGACCTAAGGCAATTTCTGAGCACCCCGAAGCAGGGAGCACCCTCCCCTGGCACACGTGGGACCCCAGCCATGGATTAGTACAGTCCAGCCTCTTCCGCTTACGCCGGGAGACACGGCGTTGGACAGGGGAATCTTCATGGGGTCCCTGAGTCACTTGGGGGTGCCGCCAGAGCCTCCTCTTGGCCGGAGGGGACGCCTGAAGTGCTAAATTAGGGGTTGGAGGCTCCCAAGGCGAGACAGCCTTCTCCAGCTGCTCATGGGCCCTCTGGCTGGTGGGTCTTCCTATGAATGACCAGCTGAAACTTCCAGTCAAAGCTGCACCCACAGTCCCCGCAGAAGTGGCGCCGCTGGCCTACGTGGCTCTTGCGGTGGATGACCAGCTGTGACTTCCAGCTGAAGCTGCGCCCACACTCCACGCACACATAGGCCCGGAGGCCAGTGGAGTGCCGGAGGGCCGGCTCCCGGGATACCTGGGGTGGCCTTTCCTGGCCTGGCTCACCCAGGTGCGTGCGATGGTGGATGATGAAAACGGACTTCCAGTCGAAGCTGCGGCCACACTGCTGACAAGTGTACAGCTTCCGAGGTGTAGGCCTGGCGGGGGCTTCAAGCAGTGCGGTGGGAGACAGGCCTGAAGGGTCCTTGCAAAGGCTCCGGCTCTCACTTGGAGAGGATGTGCAGGCTTGAACTAGCCCTGGACCTGCAACGGCTCCCACTTCTGGGAGAAGGCCCCCGAGGGACTCCGGTCCTGCATGTGGGGTCTCCTGCTTTGGCCTCAGCTCAGACTCAACATGTCTGTCTGGCTCTAGCGGCGGCAGGCTTGCTGGGTTGGGGAGAACGGTTCGTTTGGGAGCTCGGTCACACAGGGGCTTGGACAGAAGCGTGGGGGTGGGTACCTTCTGGTAGGAGAGAGATGCAGCCAGATGCTGGGCCGCTGCGCCGGGAGCCCCAGTGGGGGCCTAACACATGCGGGGAGGCACGTGGAGGATGGGACAGGGAAGACAGGACAGAGAGACGGCCATCGAATCGAACCTCACCCTGGGACACCACAGTGCCGCACTTCTCCACCATCACGCCCCAGTACAGCTCTTTTTGGGATGAGTCCAACGGGCCCCACTCCTTCTGCAAGGATGCAACCAGTCACCGACTCTCCCACCCAGCCGGTGGCGGGTTACCTCATCCTCATCTGCAGCGGGCTAAGGACCAAGTCAGCACTGGCATCTGTGAGGGCTGGATCAGCCTTCATCAGTCCACTGTCTTCTCAGTGGCCAGAAGGACTGAAACTCTGGGTGGGTTTTCCACAGAGACACCATGGCTGGTCCCCATCCTTTGTCTGGTCACTTAATGGCATACGGGAGGACAGTAAGAGGCCAGATTACCTGGGAGTCAGCCACCTTTTTCAAGACTGATGAACAAAACGGAAACTTCCTCGGGGTGAGAAATGTTTTTCCTTTGGCCTTTATTGGTGTGTGTGTGTGTGTGTGTATGTGTGTGTGTGTGTGTGTGTGTGTGTGTGTGTGTGTGTGAGAGAGAGAGAGAGAGAGAGAGAGAGAGAGAGAGAGAGAGAGAGAGAGATTGTGTGTAGCTCAGGCTGGCTCAGACTCACTATGGAGCTGAGGATGACTTTCAACTTCTGATTTTCCTGTCTCCACCTCCTGAGTTCTGGCACCACACCCAGTTCATGCAGCGCTGAGGATAGAACCTAGGACCTCGTGCATGCTAGGCAGGCCCTCTACCAACTGAGCTACAGTCCCAAAACTTTATTTATTTAATTTTATTTTTGAGAAAGAGGATTAAGGAGCCAGGCCCAGAGGGGCACACCATTGATCCCCCCAGTGCTCAGAGGCAGAGGCAGGTATATCTCTGTAAGGTCAAGGCCAGCCTGGGCTACATGGCTAGTTCCAGGACAGTCAGGACTGTATAGAGAGACGCTGTCTCAAAACAAAACAAAAAGGCTATGGGGGGGGTGGCGACGCTAAGGTTAAGATTGATGAGGGAGCCGGGTGTTGGTGGCGCACGCCTTTAATCCCAGCACTCGGGAGGCAGAGGCAGGCGGATCTCTGTGAGTTCGAGGCCAGCCTGGTCTACAAAGTGAGTTCCAGGACAGCTTCCAAAGCCACAGAGAAACCCTGTCTCGAAAAAAACAAACAAACAAAAAAAAAAGACTGACGAGGGATCTCAGGACTGTGAGGGCAGGACAGAGCCTACCTATCCTGGCCTTCCCAAGGAAAGACTTCCCCATCGAAAAGATCTACCTTCTTCCTTACCCTAAGATCTGCCATATAGGTCTTTGGTAGGTTAGGAAAAAATAACCCGGAAGGATAAGCCGAAGCCAATATGGAGAAAAGGGAAGCAGGAGTCACAGGCAGCTACGTCTAGAGGCGACACTGACTGGAAGCAAGGACACCAGAGAGGCATCCTACAGGGGTTTCTCAACCTTGAAGCACACCTCAACTAGACATTCTTTTTTTGTTGTTGTTTGTTTTACAAGACAGGGTTTCTCTGTATTGTTTTGGAGGCTGTCGGTCCAGCCCGGCCTCGAACTCACAGAGATCCGCCTGCCTCTGCCTCCCGAGTGCTGGGGATTAAAGGCGTGCGCCACCACCGCCCGGCTTAACTAGACATTCTATTGAGGAAAGGAGTAGCAGGGGCTTTAAACTAAGCCTCCGGGGCTGGAGAGATGGCTCAGAGGTTAAGAGCACTAACTAAGGTTAAGAGTTCAATTCCCAGCACCCACATGGTAGCTCACAGCCATCTGGAATGAGATCTGGTGCCCTCTTCTGACCTGCAGGCAGAACACTGTATACATAATAAAACAGATCTCTAAAAATAATAAACTAACTAACTAAGGCCACTGTACTCTGAGAAGGGCAGCAGAAGGGACTTGAGGACTTGAGGCATATTCAGGGAGAGTGTCTCGATTTACTCTCAGGGACGCAGGAACCAAGCCATGGCAGTCTCCTCTCTACCTGCACACCTAACAGCTGGCCCAAGGCCTCCGGGTATTTCAAACCATTCCAGTAACTGACCTCTCTGGGGTGAGGAAGCCATGCCCACCAGTTTTAGCCTCTCTGGACCAGGCCTGGGACCTGAGGCCTAAATCTTTTCTAATTAGAGACTACCATTCTAGTCTTCAGCTCTCAGAACCCGCTGGAAGGGAAGGTATTTACTACTCAGAAACAGTGAAAACAGAAACAAAAACACACGAGTCACTGGCAGAGGATCCTACAAAACCACAGGGTGGAACAATACCAACAGAGACACCCCATATACACCCATGGCCTGCCTTCCCTGACGCAGGCTGCTTACCTGGGTCCTTCCTGGCTGGGAGGATGTGGAGGCTGGTTCCTGGTGTCCAACATGTCCCTCAGGGGCCTGGGATGGAAGGAAGGGGTTTGGGGACCCTAAGAGAGACCAGCAGACAGGAAGGAAGGAGTATCAAGCTGTGGTTCCTGCACTGGCCTTGGCTTGTCTCTGACATGTGACATGGTGTGAGGTCAGCCTTGTCTCGTTGCTTCACAGGAGCCCAGCTTCGTAAGCTGTCCAGGGTCCCTCTCCCAGCTGGGGACATCCAGACTTATTTCAGGAGCCTCAGTCCCGATATAACCTTTCCTAAGATACCCCAGCCGCCCACCCATCAACCCCTCAGACATTTGCAGTTCTCATGCTGTATCCCCTTACCCGTCTCCTGTCCATCACCGCTGTCTTCCTCCTTTATGCTGCAACTGATCTGGGTAGATCCGTCTATCCCAGAATCCTGTGGTGCCTCGGAAGGGCCTGCCTCGGAGGACTCTGTTGCTACCGAGACATGGTGGCTCCCTGAAGATTCCTGTGTCTGCTGGGTTGTGAGAAGCATCTTTGGCTTCAGGATGTGGGCTGTGATCTGAAGAGAGGCATGTCACAGGGGCTCTACCTTCAAGTCTATCCTTCTAAGAAGCTAATGGCGTCACACTCACCCAGCCCAGCAGCTGCCCGGGATCATGCTGCAGCCCCTCAACCAGGGCTGCAGCCTCCTCGGGGTTTCCTGGTCGCTGCCCTCGCACCCAGGCCTGGATCTCAGGGGGCAACACACCAAGGAACTGCTCCAAAACCAGCAACTCTACCATCTGCTCTTTGGAGCAGGACTCAGGCTGTAGCCATTGGTGACACAATTCTCGAAGGCGGGACAGGGCCTCTCGGGGCCCCTCTACCTCCTCATAGCAGAAACCCCGGAACCTGAGTCGTGCAGCCTCAGGCTCCTCAATGGTGGTCTCGGAGTCCCGGAGGGCAAGATGTGGGGGACCCAGAGGAGAAGACATTCTCGTTTTTGAAGGGCCCTTTTGGAGCCGTCAAGACGGACCTACAGAAAAGAAGGAACCAGAGTGTCATCTAAGGCCAAAAGCATACACCGGACGCCTCCTAGAAGCCAGGAAAGAAAAACCCTGAGGCCAGGAAGGTCACGGGAGGTTCAAGCTCATAGCAGTTGAGACCTGGAAGATTCCTTGATGATAAGTGCCTGGGTGGAAGGTGTCCAGTGACCTTCTAGGAAACTGCAAATGGCTGGCTGGAACGTTTGGGTACGGCAGAGGACTCCTGTGGCTCCCCCAGCAGACAAAGGATCAGGAGGGCACAGGTAGCGCCATCATTCACGGTGACCCGGAGCCCTGGAGGCTTCAGTCAGAAGGCAGATCGTGTTGTGCTATCTGACAGCTGGCTCTGGGGTCCCGGTACATCACCCGGGATAGAGCTGAAAGCCTGGGTGCACTCGCAGGAACCTATATGAGCTTGGTGACACTGCTCAGTGACAAAAAAGCATTAACTGTGGATGCCTCCCACTGCCTGAGTCTACGCCCATGAAACTCCCAAGCAAAAGCCAGACCAAACAGCCGTGGATTGGGTGGAGTCAGAAACTGGAACCCGTGTCCCAGTGCTTAAGAGGTTCTGGGTTGAAACCGGTTCTCCTGGGCCACCTGTCCTGTCCGGAACCTTAGAGTTGGGGGTTGTCAGTCTCTGACACAGCAAAGGCAAGGGTCTTTCGGGAGGAAGGGGCCCGGTGTTTTGGGTTCCAAGGCTGGGGGTGGGGGGCGCTCTTGGAGCTGGGGTGGGGGAGCGTGAGAAGCTGCGCCGGCCCAGTCGGCAGTGCGCTCGCCTCTGACGCCTCCGGGCGTCCCAGGGGCTCGGGGCACTTCCGGGAAGGGACGCGACCCCGCGCACCCACCGCCACTCACAGGACGCCCCGCCTTGCGCGTTACCCTACCGCTCCGGCCAATCCTGCAGCGGCCCCACAGGCACGGCCCCCCACCTCCGCGCGGACTACGTCTCCCGTGAGCCTCAGCAAGGGCGAGAGCGCGTCTCCAGGGCCGGTCACGCGCGAGCTGCTCCGTTCCTCTCCCGGAGCCCGCGGTGTGGTGGCAGAGTCCCGGGGGTGGCGTGGGGTGGGGTGGAGGGGTTCCCTCTCCTGACTTGGCGACCGCTCTTCCTCTGCACCCCAGCCGAGGGACGCACCCACTGCGGACCCGGACTGCGGGTGAGCCTCCTTGCGCATGTGTAGGGCGGGACCTGGTTTCTATTGGCTGATGAGGTGTCCTTGACCAATTAGAGCTGGCGCGCAGCTGCGTGTGTCTCCTAGGTAACAGCTAGCGCATCTCTTGCCGTTCCTGAAGCTACACTGCGAGCGTCGCCCTGCGGCCGGCGGAGAAGACCGAGGTGCCGGTTCCCGACGATCCCGGCGGGAGGCGGTGTTGGGCGAGAAGACCCAGTATGGCCTTTGGTGTACCCCGTGAGCTCCGTGGATATTGTGGGGGCAATAGACCCGTGGGTGGGCGGGCAGGCGTTCAGCGGAGGGAACCGTGTGGTTATCCCCTCACTAACAATCTTTAGATAGCAGTACTGCAAATAAAGGCGGACGGTTCTGGCTGAGATTATGAGACACACTCAACCTTTAATTTGGAGGCTGCAGTTAGACAAGGTGGCCCATGCTTTTTTTTTCCCCCCCCAAAGCCTTTAAAAAAAAAAGTCACCACATGGTCTGGAACTCACTATGTGGCCTGTGGCCTGGAGCTCACTGAGATCCTCCAGCCTCTGCCTCCCGATTGCTGAGATTAAAGGTGTGCACCACCACACACGGCCAGTAAGGGCTATTAAATTTATTTGCAGATGAGGTTAGTTTGTTTCCACATACCAAGAGCCTGAACCATGAGAGAATCATTCAGTCCGGAAGTGCATGTGTCTATTCTGGTTTCTGCTGTTTCCTGGGAACCCCGTCCTCGGCTGCCAGCGGCTAGCGGTGAGCAGCAGTGATCCACATCTGAAACTCTTGTGCAGTTGTGTGGGTAGTTTGTCCACGGCTTACCAGCTGAACTACGTTGAGAGGCGAGGCCTTTTACAGATTCTCTGGACACGGCTCTCACAACCACCCAGTGGGGAGAGGCAGGCTGGGCTTTAAGGGACTTCCCAAGCAGCTGCTCTCTTGGAAGCAGCTCTGTTCTAGAACTCCTCTCCCAGGTTAGCTGGCTCCCAAGCCTTGTCTGTGCTGCAGGGTAGACCTGGTTGAATCTTGTGGTATCCCTGGGCCTTAAAATCTATAGCCGAATATTTACCAGGTTAAAAACGATGGAGCTAGCCCCAACTCCCTTAATTACTATGGTTATATTGGGTTGGCCAATGCAATCATGAAAAAAAAGTTTTTCTTTTTTTTTTTGTGACAGGATCTAAGTTCCCCAAGTTGGCTTCTCAGCCACCTTAAAGCAGAGGGTCTATGGCAACTTACTGACCTTGTCCTTAGGGTAATGAAATAGAAATCATACAGCAAATAGTTAGGTCTGTGATACTGGGGTATTGCCATTTTCTCTTAGCGGTGGGGAGGTTACTGTCCTTCCTGCCCAACTGTATGTGATCTTTGAAACACTGAATTTTAGACAGGGCAGAGGCAGGTAGATCACTGAGAGTTCAAAGCGAGCCTGGTCTACAGAGTGAGTTCCAGGACAGTCAGAGCTGTTACACAGAGAAACCCTGTCTCAGAAACAAACAAGCTGAATTTTTTTTTTTTTTTTTGGTTTTTTCGAGACAGGGTTTCTCTGTGGCTTTGGAGGCTATCCTGGAACTCTCTTGGTAGTCCAGGCTGGTCTCGAACTCACAGAGATCCGCCTGCCTCTGCCTCCCGAGTGCTGGGATTAAAGGCGTGTGCCACCAACGCCCGGCAACAAACTGAATTTTAAGGTTAAAAAAAAAAACTGATTAGAGTTTGGACTCTTCAGTCACCCCAGTTATTATGATAAAGCTTGAGGGGAAACTTGCCTGGGGGACCTTGGCGGATTCCATGGCAGGTGAGGTTGACCAAGGTGAAGGGACAAACATGCCAGGCAGACAGAGCCTAAATGAGGAGTTTTCTTAGAAAGGGGAAGGAAGCCGGGCGTTGGTGTCGCACGCCTTTAATCCCAGCACTCGGGAGGCAGAGGCAATCGGACTTATCTCAGAGAACTTGCCCTTCCAGGGCCTTGAGCAGCTGGGCCCTGCACAACACCCCCTCCTTGCATGAACTAATGAGGCTGAGTGGACAGATGTGTCTGATTCCATTGGAAAATGGGTGGGATGGTGTCTTAGGTATAGAAAGGATAGCTGCAAGATGGGTTGGGGTCAAAGACAGCTGACCGGACAAGGGGGAGCTCTTGAACCCCAGACTGATGGCTGAGAGGCCAACAGGGGACTGATCCAGACTCCATGAATGTAGTGTCAGTGAGGAGGCCTCAGAAATCTCTGGGGCCTTGGGTAATTAGATCAGTGTTCACCATGGCATGCGAATGATCTTTGGTAGCCCATTCCACATGGAGGGATGCTCTCTCAGCCTGGACACATGGGGAAGGGCCTGGGTTCTGCCCTGGATGAAATGACAGATTCTGGAGATCCCCCCCCAAGGATGGCCTCACCCTCCCTGGGGAATGATGTTGGGATTGGGTGGGGGGCTGGTGGGAGCTGGTGGAGGGGGAAGGGAGGAGGGGTGGGAGAGGGAGCTGGGATTGACATGTGAGGCATGTTTCTAATTTAAATAAAAACATGAAAAAAAGAGATGGGTTTGGGTTTTTTTTGAAACAAGGTCTCTCTATGCAGCTCCAACTGCTCTGAACCTTGCTATGTATACCAGCTTTGTCTCTGTCTCAAGTGCTGGAATTAAAGGTATCAATACATACTGGGCATTGGTGGCACACGCCTTTAATCCCAGCACTCGGGAGGCAGAGGCAGGCGGATCTCTGTGAGTTCGAGGCCAGCCTGGTCTACAAAGTGAGTTCCAGGACAGCCTCCAAAGCCACAGAGAAACCCTGTCTCGAAAAACAAACAAAACAAAAAAAGGTATCAATACATTTGACCTTTTTTCCTTATTTTTTCACTGTCTCAGTAGCCCTATACTGGCCTCAAACTCACTGTGCAATCAAGTCTGGTTTCTTTTTCTTTCTTTTTCTTTTTTTTTTTGGTTTTTCGAGACAGGGTTTCTCTGTATTGTTTTGGAGACTGTCCTGGACTCACTCTGTAGACCAGGCTGGCCTCCAACTCACAGAGATCCACCTGCCTCTGCCTCCCCAGTGCTGGGATCAAAGGCGTGCGCCACCAACGCCTGGCTTCAAGTCTGGTTTCTTAACTCCAGATCCTCCAGTCTCAGCCTCCCACGTGCTAGGGTTCAGGTAGGCACTGCCATACCTGCAAGGTTCTTGAGTGATGGCGCTGGAGTTCCCACGGGGCTGGAATCAGCTTTGCACACGCACTCAGCCTCAAAAGCAGGTGCCAGCACAGCCCTGCCTCTGTCTTCCCACCCTGGCCCCTCCCACAGTCTGATCCACAGAGGTTCATTTTCATCAAAACTGCTGCTTTGGGGCAGTCCTGCTCTGCCCCGGTCTCCGGGCTTCCCCCAACCACTTGTGGCCACCAAGGAGATACAGATGAGCCTATCCTACACTGGGCTGCAGACAAACTGTATATATCCTTTGGCCCTCTCAGAACCCTGATTAAAGCCAAATCCCCAAATCTCTGTGCTGACATCCAATGGCATGTCTGTGTATATCCATTTAATACTTTCTGCCTTGTTTTATTAAGGTAAAAACAAGTATTACTGTTCATACAGATGTTAAAAACGTCCGAGTATATAACTCAATTTTTTGTTTTGTTTTTCAAGACAGGTTTTCTCTGTGTAGCCTTGATTGTCCTGGAACTCACTCTGTAGAACAGGCTGGCCTCAAACTCACAGAGATCCATCTGCCTCTGCCTCTGGAGTGCTGGGACTAAAGGCATGCATCACCAATGTCTAAAGATAGGGTCTCAAACTATCCTTGAACCCGGAGGTGGGGATCCCAGTCATGCATCATGGAGCCTAGTTTTGTTTTTTTAGATTTATTTATTGTGTATACAGTGTTCTGCCTACATTTATGCCTGTAGGCCAGAAGAGGGCACCAGATATCATTATAGATGGCTGTGAGCCACCATGCGGTTGCTGGGAAACATGGGTTGCTGGGAACTGAACTCAGGACCTCTGGAAGGGCAATCAGTGCTCTTAACCTCTGAGCCATCTTTCCAGCCCCAAGCCTAGTTCTTTGTTTTTTTTTGAGACAGGGTTTCTCAGTTTAGCCCAGGCTAGCCTCGAACTCGCAGAGATCCTCCTGCCTCTGCCTCCCATGTGTGCTGGGATTAAAGGCCACCATGCCTCCATTTCCCTGTGGGTGTGGCCTCAAGTCCAAATGGGACCTGGTCCAATGAAGGCCACAAGAAGCAAACTCATTCTTATTCACCTATCTGTTCTCACCGTTCAGGGTCTCATACTGGCAAGGGTGCTCTCTGTTCAGCTTTCTGACTTCCAACCAAGGTAGGGATGACAACAGAGGCTGGATGGGGGGGATGGGCTTTGGTAATGGCTGATGGCAGGCTTCAGGCTTAGATGAGGATGGGAATGAATGCTAATGAGGAATCAGCATCTTTGATCTGCAGGAGACCTGAGAGCCAGGTCTTCCCTACAGGTCTCCGTCTCCTGCTGGTGGTTATGCCAGCCCTTTCGCGTCTGGTAGACGAGAGGTGGGGATTGCGGTTGGAGATTGCATTAGTTCATCCAAGTTCAGTCCTGGTTCTGTAGTATGCTCTAGGCCACTTCCATGCCCCCATTTTCTCGTTTGAAGCAGAGCCGCCAATACAAGACACACAAAGCTGCTTACTCTGCAGTACCTGGCACACGTCTGGCAGTGAGTGAGTCGTCTACTTGGGCTTTATTTGGATTCTGTTAGAGCGCTATTCATTTTTGTTTTTTTTTTTTTTTTTTTTTTTTTTTTAGACAGAATCTCACCATGTAGCTTTGGTTGGGATCTGGAACTCATTGTGTAGACAAGACTCTGCCTTCCAAGTGCTGCTTATTTATTTATTTATTCATTTTTGGTTTTTCAAGGCAGGGTTTCTCTGTAGCTTTGGAAGCTCA